CAGCCAGCTGCAGCGGAGAAGATGCTACCTCCCGTTCTTCTCACAACGCCTGGAAGAAAACAGGACCGTCGTGTAGCCTTCTCACCAGATACAAAGCGGGCTGCCGTGGGGCAAGAGTCCCCTTCGCCAATAAAGTCTGGTATCCCAAGATCCGCGACACTGTCAAAGCTTTTTCCTCCCAAGTTTACTGCTGGCGGCACAGGAGCGAGCAAAAAAGTTAGCCATGAGCTTACTAAGGGCGAAGTCACATATCCTGATCTCTCCGCCTACGAAGATGATGAAGATAAGCCACAGCCTCCACCCGAGTCGCTTCCTGGCACCTTTACTTTCCGTAGTGATCACACCATCTGCTTCGAAAACAGCCCGTCCAAGGGATTTGGTCCAGCTGCCGGCCAGGCAAGCCTACGACAAGTCCGCCAATCAGGAACTGCTTCTCCTATCCGCATGCCTGGCAGCTTTCCCCCTACTTCAGAGTTGTCGCCGAACAAAGAGAACAACGACCCCATTGGCGTGAGTGGCATTGCTCACGGAATGCCAAATAAGAAGCGCCATAGAGCCGGTGCAGATGACGAAGAGGATGACGAAGGTACCCGGCGAGGTATGAAGAAGTTGCGCAAAGACCCGCCACCGACTGAAGGGCACGCTCTGGTAGCTCCCCGACTTACCAGTCAAGCCTCCCCTACTAAGAAGCTTGTGAGGCCTGCGTCTCAGACACCCAGCCCGCAGAAGAAGAAGACTGGCGGTCTGAGTCTAAGCAGACTGAATATGCTTGCCCGACCAAAAGTCCGAAATTAATCGTTTGCACCGCTCGAAAGGTCACGTTGTGCATAGTTCAGAGTCGCGTTCTACGGTCATGTGATACGAGTGTTATGTTTTGATACCGTCATCAAGTTGCCATGACTTGACACCAGCTCGGGGAGTGTAGCATATGTATTGTTACAGACGAGTTTCAATGAGCCATGTTGACATGGAAGCTGAACGGCTGGTGGGCAGGCACTCCAACACATGCGTTGCCAGCACTCGCCGTACTGCCGGTTTGCCGGTTGCCAATGGTTTTGTTTTATATTGTGGCTTTCAGAGGCTCATGTGTGTAGCGTACATGGCTCCGGTTGTCACTGGGTTTGCTTTATTGTCTGTCTTCCGGATGCTCATGTTTGATGGCGTAAATGGTTCTGGCGGAATGGAAAATACTTGTTTTATGGATGTGGAATATGGTGGCCGGTTATGAAGGCGTCTTTGGCGTTCTTTGCGATGCCAACACGCAATGAACGATTAGGAGGCCTTGGTCCTCCGTGTAATTCTGAATCCGACAGAAATAGATTGTTAAAATGGACTTTTCTTGACCTTGCTGGTGACACACCTTGACCCTGGCCAGCTATTGCTGACATAGCCATACATACTGCTACAGCTTCTCACGAACATTGAAAAAGAATATTGTGAAGCAGCCCCGATGGTTCCCGCGTGCTCTTGAAAGGCCAATATGTAGAAATTGTCTTGACGTAGTTGAATACCTATACCTACAGTTGCCTCTTGCTGACAGTCACTTCGATTCCAGGAATCTCGGTATGTGATAGCGCCAAAACTTATGACAGGGTAAGAGTTTTACAGTGTCCGAAATGTGAAGGTACTCCCTCGAGGGATATTTGTAGCACACCTACTTGTTGATCGTACCTGACTCCGCCAAAATCTACGTAAGTAGGCACCTACTTCATTATTTCGATAACAACATGCCATCTCCCCTCGCCATTCCATACCTACATTCTTTCGACCTAGACATTCTTATCTCAAGGATGCCGCACTCGCATCCGTTCACTTGTACGTTCTGCTGGCACCTGTCGCGCGACCCACCACACGTCCTCGGCCACACAGCCCGTCTGACCTGCGAATCTTGCTTCCGCGGCATCGTCGACCTGGCCATCTGCTAGGTGTGTGGCGAGATCGTCTTCCGCGGCGAGGAGAGCGTCAGCCTGGGCTGGTGCTTCTGGCACCGCGCCTGCTACGGTTGTCTATTCTGCGGTAGCAAGACTGTTGTGACGGCGCCTACTATAGCTCAGCTCTTTGAGGATAGCCGTGTTGTTGAGGCTGCAACATCCAACGACAGCCTGGGAAGGGCGAAGGGAAGAGAGATCGCTGATATTCCCATGTGTGTCAATTGCGTCGTGAGCTGCGAGAACGACGATGAGGATTCGCTGCAGAAGAAAGCCCTGAAGAGGGTAGGTAAGGCGGATGGAGGCTTGAGCCAAAACAGGTGGAAAGCTACAGGGCAGATCACGAGGGTACCAGTAGTACGTCACAAGAATAAGAACCACCAGCTTGGGGGAGGAGATGGATCGAGAGATACTCCTCCTTCATCCCTTCCAGTACCCGTTGCTTCAGCTTCAACTTCAACTTCGATTTCCACTGGCGAGACGATAGCCAAGTTACATTACCGTCGATCACAAGACCCAAGATACGCCGAACTAGAATGTCTCGTACCCTTAGACTCGGCAATCTACGTCTCGATCCTCGACCCCTTAAACACGCCCGCTTTCAAGCCGAGCCCGACAAAGCCCATACCGGCGTGGATGCAGTGGCTTCCGGACCAGCGAGGCCAGAATCGGATTCGCGAGTCGCGGCCTCACTCCATGCTGGACGTACATTTCCCGCCTCCGTCGAGGTTCGCCCGTCGATCTCCTCCTACTCCACAGACCCACGAGCAGCAGCAGACGGATATGGTTTGCCCCAGAGGGCGTCCACAGACGCACGAACAGAAGGAAATGGTTTACCACCGTGAGCCCTGCGGGCGTCCACCCATTCCACCTAGATCTCAATCCCAATCCCCAGCACTGCCACCTGTATCGCCACTACCTCAATCACCACCCCATCGCAGTCTCCAACGCCACAAGTCCCACGAGTATACGAACTCGGACTTCATTGAAGATTTTGATGACGAGAACAACAGCACTCGCAGCTCTTCTCCGGATTCGTATCACCCTACCTCGGCATCCCCTCCACCTTATAAGCGACCCTCGGTTGTTACAGATGAGCCCCTGAAGCGTCCTTCGTCACGACTAGCCCCATCCCACACACATACCGGTATGCACCTATATAGACAGCCAGAAGTGGACGAAGAAGAATACACTGCTGAGCCTATAGCCTCTGAAGGTAAAGGGAAGAGCGTCGCATGGCACAAGACTGTAGCAGGCGATGAAAGCGATGAGATTTGCTACGAAAGCGCCCTGCCCGTGGGAGTGAGAGAAAGCCCTCCGAAGCGCTGTGCCTCGCCGCTAGCTGATCAGTTCATCGCAGCTTGGCATCGTGTCGTGAAGCCTCGGACGCCGCCTGCGCAGTCGAAGGAGTTTCTTGATCTGTACAGGTCCGACAAGGCAACTCAGGCCAGTCTTGCCATGCCTGGGCGGCGGCGCGACCGTGAGATTGGGAAAGGGTGCAAAAAGGAAAAATGAATAAATATGTACTCGTTTTTACCGGGGGTTATGAATAGTTTAATAGTATCGTTAGGACAGAATGGATTACTTTGGTAGGATTAAGTACGGAAATTGGGAATTGGTATTCTCATCACTATCATTCTTCGTGAGGGTTGTGTTCTATAATTACAAAAGCCCATTATACATATAGCATTTATTCGTTGCATCCTATATTAGCATCCATTGCGCGTGGAAGAAGCGCCTTTAGTGCTAGTCCATCCTGATCAAACTCCATACCAATTAAACGAAGCCCTCGAGATTTAATTTCAAGGAAAAGGGAAAGTGACATGTTTTATCGCAATGCCGTTAGAAGAAAACCAGGAAGCTTAGGGAGCTAGCTCTTGACCGCACGACTCGCGGGCGCTGTGCCCTGGCGCTGCGTGTACATCATGTAGCCCAAGACACCAGCCGCCAAGGTACCAAGGATGAAGAAGTTGTCTGTGTATGTGGTGTTAGCGCACGCATATGGTCAGTACCGCCACCAGCCACCAGCAACTTTCTATCTGGCAAGTGATGGAAATCTGGAAATTCGGAAATCGTAGGGGAGTAAAAGGGAGGCGTAGGTAAGACTTACGGAATGCGAAACCGAGGGTGCCCTCGACAAAGTTAACGAAGCCGCTGAAGAGGCTCACAATGCCGTTGATGACGAACTGGCACACGTCCACGACGCCGTTGATGGCGAATTGGATGACATTCAGGATGGCGGCGAAGAAACCCTGGATCAACTCGGCGATGGACTCGAACATATGGCCGATTCCTGATGCGATGCCCATTTTGACTGGTTTTTTATGCTGTTTTGGGGGGGTTCAGCTGTATTTATCTCCTGGTATAGAGAGATATGGTGTATTTGTTGATTAATTAAGTTTGGGGAGCAGTTATTGAAGATGTGTGTAGGTTGATATGAGAGATGTTAAGAAGAGAAGGTTAAAGAGGGTGTGGCTGCTCCTCCTTCTTGTATGCGTGTGCGCCACATCACAATGCCTACCTTCATAGCCAGTATGACGGGACATACGTCAGTTTTTGACATAATCAGGGTAATAGCCGTGATGGCACGCAGCGTATGCTCCGGCGCGCATACCAAACAAAGAAAGAGGTTGCGTTACACAGCTATGACGAGAGGGCCGTTGAGTTCGAGTAAATGATGTCATGACTTGAGAACTAGAAATACAGTCTTTCCACGGCATTGTTTGGCGGATAAGACTGTATGTTTTAGGACTACCCAACAAGGTAATAAGACCTTTGCTTCTTGGATTTTGATTGGCTGAAGCTTGACTGCATTCCCTATCATGAAAATTGGATCGATCGATCATGTGCTCGCCTATCTACTACAACACATCATGCTATCGTTGTGAAGGACTTTGCAAGACGAGAAAAGCTTATGATAAGGCTGGGGCAATCTGACATTTCCATTCATTTCTATTCAGCTAATATTCTGTTGAATCCACTCAAGTTCAAAACGGTTTCAGAGCTAGGCAGCATAGCTCTACAAGAACTCTACACTTTGCTGCGTCTTTGAAGAACACGTCACAAAGTCAAGCGGGGATAGCTCAGTTGGGAGAGCGTCAGACTGAAGCCAAACTTCATTCATTCATCTGAAGGTCGTGTGTTCAATCCACACTCACCGCAACGAACTCAATTTTTTGTCATTTTTGCTGCTAATAAATAGATACTGGCTGCTACATACTTTGGTTTCTTCCTCTTTCACACTTGTAAAGTATGGATGTGCGCGTGTGTGTGCGTGTGTGTGTGCGTGTGTTATATAATATGTTTAGTGATTTTATATTTACAGCTACTTCTCCAAGTAAACAAGCCTTAGTTAAGCTAATCGTAGAATCCCCACAAACTGAAAGAAATGTCCAGTGTCGAGCTCGCGGATGATATAAAAACCAGCGAAGAAAATTGGATAAAGCAAAAAGACCTCTGGATCAGCGGTTCCCCTTTTGCTGATTAAAACAAGGCTGGCTGATCGAATTAATCACTACCTTAGCGACTCAGGATTTCTCTCGCCCTCTATGGCCATATGTAATGCGAGCTAATTCAGCTTATTTAATTAAGTTACAAGACTGGCGCCCCTGAAGGGCTCTCTACTAAAGTAACCCTAACTGTCTCCTTGACTAAAAAAAGAGGAGGAAAAGAATTCTCCCACGTGTGTTGTTGGGAGAATAGAAACTTGATGCATCAGCCGTGAATCGAACACGGGGCCCATCGATGGCAACGATGGATTTTACCACTAAACCACTGATGCTGCTTTATTAAGATTGACGCTGCTAGTACGGTGAATCGAACCGCTGACCCCATTGATGAGAGAAACACATGTGCGTACCATGCATGGATGGGTTGGTGAAAACGATGAGAGTTGGAATTATTACCACGCAAAAATATTGACAGGATAATTATGAAATGAGAGAACGACGTTCACCAGGTTGCTGAATTGCTACTTCAACTTACCACAATCGATAGTAGTAGAACATCACTTATCTCGAAAGTGGACAATAGCATAGGCTCAAATGCCTCTAGGGCGGAACTTCATTTATACCGATGATTGTTTGAATGCGGGATCGCCTTTACACCCAGTTGTAACAAACTGCATGGCTTCTCTAAAGCACTATACATACCGTGAGTAAACCAATGCCTGTGCTAATTCTTCTACCCATAGTTTGAAGATAAAAAGACGCTGTTTCACCCATTTCTCACCTTCAGCGCAGCCATGATGTGTCTTCACAGTGGGATATTCTTCTTTCCAGAATCAGAGGATTGTCTGCTCGGATAGAGCTGACAGTTCTCCTAGAGAGCCATTAGATAACACCTCACACCATGTCTGTGCCTCTCAGCAGACATGCCTCGACAGCCATAGCCTCTGAGTTCCGAAAATACTCAGAAAACAATGAGGACATCCTGGGATTATATAGTACTGCATCAAGTAACACTTCTGATCACATTTATTAAAAGGCATTAACAGGCGGTAAGACTTGCCTATATCATATTTGAAATAGAAAAGAAAAGGGCACAAGCCTCAAACCCCTTCTTGTCAATGTGACCGGAAGCTCCCAAACAGACTCACTGTTATTGTCTAGTGGAACTGAATAAATCGGATTCACTACGATTCTTCCACTTTCCGGCGCTTCAAGAGAAAATTCTGATGCCTCATTGCTTGCGAGGTGGCTTGGACGGCCTCAATGTTGAGGCCAATCAATGTAGGATCATTGTCTACATATTATTGAGCTGATCGATACCACCATTTAAAGAGAAAGATTTTGCTTATACATGCCTGCACTGAATGAAGATCTCACGGTCTTGTAGTGATCTCATATTAGGTCGTGTCAAAATACTCGAGATATTTTCGCAGAGTATGATATGGTTTCGTACAAAGACATCAAACGGGGCAGATAAGAATAGCTTGCTAGTGCCTCAGGCATGTTCCTAGGCGTCACCAATTCTACATGCCATTAAACGTTTGCATGGGGAATGGTTACGGGAGTTGCCCTGCCTATAGACCAGGAGCACAACCTCACCCGAGCAACCGAAACTGGGATTGGAATCTTATACGTCATTAAAAGCGTCGGGTTTTTGTTCGAGACATAAATAGATACAAGAATTTGCGAGGAGAGACTTTGTCTGCAATTCGAAAAGGAACGGCTCTCTCGCATATAACAGAGCCGACCCATAACTCCCGAGTTTCGACCTTTCTATGTTGCTTTTCCCGAGTTTGTATAGAAAGCATCAAGTACCCGAAAGACCAAAAAAACGAACAGAGTGGTATTATTTTGTGCCCAACGCCGCCCCGTGTTTGCCTCATTACAACGATTGCCGACTTAAGAAATATTCATCCCTACTGCTGCTTGAGGATGCGCTTCGAGGTCCACATCCGCGACTAGGGTACGTTGGTGGGCGCTGTTTCGGACGAGGTTGCCGAAGAACTTCAATGCAACCTCGCTTTCAGTACGCGTTTTCAAGGTCTCGTCTCTGCGTGAGCCCAGTTGTTCGACAGAACGTGTCAAACCGACACGTAGGTTGTCGGCAGGGAATCGAAGTACTTTGCGCACTGAGCTTGCTACACGTGTACTATTCGCATGTACGTAGTCCATAGAATCTAACTTTGCAGAAAGCTTCGTGGACAAGCGGTGAGGCAGAGATTGTGGGATCTGTCGGAGAACGTATGCCGCAGCAGAGACAGCTACAAAATCCATGGTTAGCAAACAGTAGAGCATTATTATGGCGTATGAAACTTACCTGCAAGGACGACTGCAGGGATAATCAGTTTCCTGAGGTTCTCGTTCCCAACAATCTTTGCAGCACTCAGTGCATGGTCTACCCAGCCAAACCCGCCGATAAATCGCCCGCCTACAGCAGTTACCAAAGTCAAAGCCATACCAGTACCGGCGACCTTCTCCTGGCGCTGCATGAGAGTAGACCAGTCAACAAGATCCCATAACTCAGTTGGAAGGTCGATCTCCTTGGCCAAAATATCTCGTCGTCTTCGGAACATAACATCTGATCGGAAGCTGAGGTCGTGATATTCGTTGCCAAGATGAAGGATGCCAAGTTGCTTGATAGCATTTACACCACTCACTGCCTTGGAACGGGCATGCTCTTCGCAGCCTGTGACGGCAGACGAAATCTCATTCAGCATCGCTTCCTTGAGGTCTTCGGCAAACTCGAACACGCCGAATAATCCAGGATATGGTACCCCAAGAGTGCTGTCGCCAGCATGAGCGATCGCCAAGTTGAGCGTATTTCTCGTATGATCATAGATTTCCTTGCAGGTTACCTCGATGGTCTGATCAATCTCGTCGCCTACTTCTGCTTTTGCCTTCTTAGAGGATTCTAGTTGCGGTTCAATATCCTCCAAGTCCTTCGTTACACGATCGATTTCGGCCTGTGCGACTTCTACGTTGACGGTGGCAAGGACATGAACATCGTTAAGAATATTCATGAGATAGGTCTTGGCGGGTGTGAGCTTAGACCGTGCTCGTTTCTCTAGAACGAAGCGTCTCAGAGATTGCTCCAGTTTCTGGAAGTCTTCGATCTTCTCTTTTTCCTTCCCTTTGCCTTTGGGATCGTCGCTAGGGTCGTCCCCTCCACCGCCTCCGCTAGAGCTACCACCACCGTGACCTCCTGGGGGTGGGGGCGCTGTAGGAATGGCATTGCTTGAAACGAAATGCACTAATTCGGTGGACTCTTTGAATGTGCGAGGACTTAAGCCGTACACCTGGTCCAAGATCATCTTCTGACATCTCTCTTTGTCACGGATCATATCAAAACCATTGACAACCATAAATATGTAGGCCTTCTCTGCTGCTGCTGCCCAGATGAATTCCTTGGCCGATTGCGTAAAATGATTAGCTGCCGAGACGACGAACACAACAACGTCAATCTCCTCTTGCCGAGCGAAAATAGCTGTAGTTTTGGTTGTGTCCGAGTTGAGGCCGGGGGCGTCAATCAGTGCAATGTCCACCACGCCGTTGTTGAGAAGTGATTCGTCCACGGTCCGGACATCTTTAACGTAAACCTTGCATTGCATGTAGGTTGAGTTATCGAGAACGATCTTCTCCAGTTCCAGGAGGGGAAATACATCGTAGGTTGATTCGTCGTGTCGGTTGTAAGTGGCGTCCCTGTGCACTGCATGAACCTCTTCCATGCCTCCATTTTCCCGTGCATCCAACACTTCACAGAAAAGACTTGTACACGGCTGCTGGTCTTCAGGTAGCACTTTGCGTCGTAGCAGTGCATTGCAAAACGTCGATTTGCCCGCATTTAAATCTCCAGTGACTAGAACCTTGGAAGAGGTATCATCAATGCGTTCTCGTAGTGATGCCAAGTGCTTGATGCTTGTGCGTATCTTGCCGTCAAGTAATGACGCAACGGAGTTCTTTTCGAGTGAATGAACAAGCTCAGCCTGGTTCAGCGCCCCTAGCTTGAGGTCAAGCTTAAGAATAGAAAATTCTTGTGCAATCTGAGGTGTTATTAACCGAGGGACTTCTGCGCTTGCTTTGTTTTCGGCGTCCTTGCTGGACTCGGCGGTTTCGTGCTCCGAGAGACTCGTCATAGACCGTCGTAGGGGTTGCGGATGATTTTGCGCGGGTGTAGGATCGCCGGCAACAGAGAAAGTATGGTGTAAACTAGGTCTTGAGGTAGGTCGTTCCATGTCGGTACGCTGAACGGAGGGATAGTGTGCAGGCCAAACCGTATTCATCTCCTGGAGACCATGAAGAAGGTCGACCACCCTATTGATTGAGCGGCCCAGAGCGACTCGTTGCTGATTGTACCATAGCTGTGACACAGCGGATACCTGGTTTCGTTGATCGGTCTCGGCATTTTCTGTCGGCTGGCGCGGCAGCAACATGTCTCCCGCGATGCTTGGGTCGGTTCGAGGGGAGCCAAGCGGCAGCTTGGATGAGCCGGGTTCGTCGCCGGCAATGCTTCCACCATATCCCGAGTCAATATCTAGTAACGATTGCAGTCGTGCTGCATGATAAGACGTGGAGCCATTGCCAACAGTGACATACGCTGGTCTTCCGGGAGTAGACGCGTGTGGCGCATTGTTCGTATTGTCCTCTATATCATTTTGGGAAGGGGACTTGCCCTTCGAAACGGATGGGAAGTATTCCTGGCTCATGGCGATTGCT